TAGAATCTAGGTTAGAAGTCAATTTCCCTCAGAATTTTGAAGGCATTTCTCCATCGTCTTTTAGCTTTTAGAGTTGCTGTTGAGAGGTACAGTGCCATTCTAATTCTTCAATTCATGCTTTGTCTGAAACTTGTTTCTTTTCTCTCAGGAAGCTAGGACCTTTTGACCTCAGTATCCTGAAATTGTATGTGTCATGATGTGGGTCTATTTTTCTGTTATTGAAGTATAGTTAATTTACAATGTTGTGTTAGTTTCTGGTGTACAGCACAGTGATTCAGTTATACATATGTATATATATTTTTTCATGTTCTTTTCATTATAGGCTATTACAAGGTATTGAATATAGTTCCCTGTGTTATACAGTAGGACCTTGTTGTTTATCTATTTTATATATAGTAGTGTGTATCTCTTTCTGTCAGTTCCAAACTCCTAATGTATCCCTCCCCTACCTTTCCCTCCTGGTAACTGTAAGTTCATTTTCTATGTCTGTGAATCTATTTCTGGTTTATAAATAAAATTTGTATCTTTTTTTAGATTTCACATATAAGTGATGTCATATGACATTTGTCTTTGTCTGACTTACTTCACTTAATATGATAATCTTTAGGTCCATCCATGTTGCTGTAAATGGCATTATTTCATTCTTTTTTATGGCTGAGTAATATTCCATTGTGTATATATGTATGTATAAATGCATACCACATCTTCTTTATCCAGTCATCTTTTGGTGGACACTTAGGTTGCTTCCATGTCTTGGCTATTGTAAGTAGTGCTGCTTTCAACAATGGGGTACATATATTTTTTCAAATTAATTTTCTTCAAATACATGCCCAGGAGTGGGATGGCTGGATCCTGTAGTAAGTCTATTTTTAGTTTTCTAATCTTTGTTTTTATAAAGTTTGAAGCCATATCATCTGATGAATAGTTCATAATTTTACTATCTTCTTAGTGGATTATACCTTTTAATTGTATATTCCCCTCTTCTAAAAAACATTTTTTAACTTACATATAGTTGTTAAGAAATCATACAAAGAAATCCCAGGAACCCATTTATCCAGTTTCCCCCAATGGTACAAACCATAGTACAGTATCTACATATAGGCATTGTAAAACTATAGTACAATACCACAACCAGGATATTGACACTGATACAGTCAAGATACAGAACAGTTCTATAACTAGAAATCTTTCATGTTGGCCCCTCCTCCCCAACTTGACAACCATGGAACTGTTCTCCATTTTTATGATTTTGTCATTTCAAGAATGTTATATAAATGGAATCATATATTATGCAACCTTTGGGGATTGGTCTTTTTCATTCAGCATAATGCTCTGGAGATTCATCCAAGTTGCTGTGTGCATCAATAGTTTATTCCTTTTTATTGCTGAGTACTATTCGTGGCATGTATGTACCATAGTTTGTTTAATCACTCACCTGTTGAAGGACATCTGGGATGTTTCTAGTTTGGGGCTATTTTGAATAAAGATAATATGAATATTCATGTATAGGTTTTTGTGTAAACATAAGTTTTAATTTCTCTGGCACAAATGCTCTGGTGTGCAATGACTACGTCATAAGGTGGTTGCATGTTTATTTTTTTAAGACACTGCCAAACTGCTTTTCAAAGTAGTTGTATCCTTTTACATCACTAGCAATGTTTGATTTAGTTTCTCTGCATCCTCACCAGTATTTGGTATTATCACTAATTTTTGTTTTACCATTATATCTATAGCTCAATTTGTGGAGAATTGACATCTTTATAATGTTGAGTTTTCCCATCCATGTACACAGTATGTCTCTCTATTTGTATAGATCTCCTTTGATTTATTTCATCAGCATTTTGTAGTTTTCAGTATGCAAGTCCTATATATGCTTTGTTAGATTTACACCTAAGTATTCTGCTTTGTGTGTGTGTGAAAGGAATTACATTTTTAATTTTGGTGCTCAAATGTTCATTACAATATATATATATATATATATATATATATACATACAGTTGATTTTTGTATATTTTATATCCTGCAACCTTGAACTCATTTATTCTAGATTTTTTGTAGATTCTTTTGGATCTTCTACATAGACATTCATGTCATCTATAAATAGGTACAGTTTCATTTCTTCCTTTCCAATCTTTATGCCTTTTATTTTCTTATGCCTTATTGCACTGGCTACAACTTCCAGTAGTATGTTGGATAAGTGTGGTGACAGCAGATATCCTTGCCTCACTCCTGATCATTTTAGCACTATAAAACCCTATGTCTTAATGCTTTTTAATTGAATTCCACTAGAGACTAATACTTAACTGCCTCATTTTTACTTGCATATTAACTTCTACTTCTTTTTCTATACAATTGAAGAGGATATCTTTTTTTAAAAAGAAGATAGCGTAAAAGAAATGAGGTCTTTTCCATTCCTAATGTCCATGATCCTCTTATATATTCTTTCTGAATTCAAGGAAAATATACTGAAAAGGATGTCAATTTCATTATCATAATCATTCTCTAATTATGAATTCCTTTCCAAATGCACTTAGAGAATTATACAAAAATGTGAAAACTCGTAAGTACAATTAAATTGACATACTGAATAGCTCCAGCTGAATTTTTAATTTAACCATGAATTTTAATTAGTTTGATATAGAAAATGAAGAACCTTATTTCCAAGTGGAGGAAAACTTTCTTTAAAGGAAGTGTTTAATGGCAAAATCATATGTATTGAACAGACATAAAAAAGTAACAGTATTTTTTTCCTACTCCAGGCCTTTCCCCTGGTTTGATCTGACTGCTGTGCAACTCAAAGAAACTCCCTTTAGCCAGTATCTCTCAAACAGCACTGCTCTCCAGGACCATCTTACCCATCTATATTGTGATTCATTTGGCATCTCCCTAACCAAAGAACAACAGCCAACAGAGGTTTCCAAGGGCTCTCTATCGCAGTAAGAGACCAGACCTCAGGAGTCAGGACTTCTCCTTCTACAATGGTTGTACCCTGATTATCACAATTGACAGTGGAAGTTATGTATGGTGTTTGCCGTATGTTAGACAATAAGGAATTAGAAAATTGTACTGATGGCTCTTTAAAATGTAGAATAAAATAAGACATCCTTTACATCAGTGTGTTTGGGTGTGTCTGGTTTTTGGAAGCAAGTAAATGAAACTACAAAACCTGACACACTTAAGCAAGCTGCTTCCCCAGGAGAGCCTTGCGTTAATTCAAATTATTTCTCCTCTGAGAGCTAAATCCAAGAAGTTATACTGGCATTCTTAGATAGTTCCATGCTTTTCCTGTAGCATTCTTTTCCTATAGCAGTATGTAGCCAACAAATGATACAGTTTGATTTTCCTACCAGTTTGGATAGAAAAGCAAAAGTGTAGTAAACAATCTTACTTGAATTATGACTCATTTTATGCTTATTTCAGCTATATATGACTGTTTTGGTACTATCTTATTTAACCCTGTTCCCATTTAAACCATTTTAAACCATAAAACCACTTTAAAAAATAGCTGGCATTTATGTTAAATGGCTAAAAATAATTTTGTGAAATATTGATTTTATTCCTACAGTGCAAATTTATTTCATGTTTTATAATTAGTTTATGTCAATAGTAATAGAGTAGAAAATAATAAGTGACCATCAAGTTGAGAAAGTATGACACTGATTATATTCTGTCATTGAACAGAACTATTGTTTGCCAAACGCTAAAGTGCTTTTAAACAAAACCATTCACTATACATGTAAACTACCACAGTCTTGGGTTAAGTATTTACATTTTTCTTTTTTGCATACTTGTGAGCCAAACAAACTCAAAAGTATGCTGTTAAATGGTTTGAAATAAAATTCTGTTAAGCCTAATTTTTTCCCAGGTTGGACTATCATCAAACATTGACACTTGGTATGAATGCTAATTTAAGGCACTGTTCCTTCTCTCAGTAGGGAAAAAAAAAAAGCAAAGAAATGGATTCCTTTGACTATTCATTCAGGCGTAAGGAACTGGATAGGGTATACCATTGCCCTTCTGGATTGTAGTAGTCCTACAGTGGTTCTTAGGATTAAGAAGTGGAGCTGGAGCCACCACACAAAAAGCCTTGTAAACAAACTCCAGGCTCTACTCCATAGTCAGTAGTACTTCTATAAACCATGTTGTATTTAAGGATAAATACAAATATAAAAAGATTTTAAAACATTTTTTTCTCCAATGCCAAAAGGGAAAGAGAACTTCCTCCCTCCTTTTTTATAAAAATTTCCTTTTGAAAACTTGTAATTTAAATCCTTTTCCTCTGTTTTTGAGATGTATGCAAATCTTTTAAAAAAGTGAATAAGCCTCCTGCCAGTTTTATATCCCAGGACTGTCTTTTGGGAGGGCCTTGGAGCCATCTCTTCGAAATGTGAGCATTTGGAAGGATGACACTTTGTCTCCCTGACTCTGGGAGTTGAGCCTAAGTGCTTGGTTCCAGGTAGTAACTTTCTGTTTGTCATAAGATATGAGAAGTTTTATTTTTTCCTTTGGATACAGACAGTTAACATGGAAATAATGGATTTTATCTGCCTGGCTATATAAAAGGGTGAGATTTCCTTGTCTTTGCAATCTCTTTAATGGCTTGCCTATAATGGGCATCACAGGCTGATTTAACGCTGATTCGATAGTAAAACTTTTTCTGCACTTATGAAGGAATATCTGGGTTGCCAGGCGATTTTGCTTTTAGTTCTGTTTCTCCAACATGTTCCGATTAACAGATGCATTACTAGAATTTATCAAAAATTATTACAATTTTTACAATTTCTCCAGAAAGAGAACTATTGTTATCTTTGTTTTAACAAGGGACTAAATTGAAACACAAATAAAGGGAAGGTGCTGTGAGTCAGTGACAGAACTAGGAATGGAGCCAGTAGTTCTAACTTTGACCCTGAATGAAGAGGAGAAAAAGAAAATGCAGGAAGACCACTCTTCTCTCCCCACAGAATTTAGATTGATTTTCAAGCTAAGTGAAATGGCTTTCCCTATGGTTCAGTGGAATATAATGTCCCATCCTCTTCAGGGGTGGTTATTTCTGGAGCATAATCCTGTAATCTTGCCTCTTGCACAAATTCAGACAAGGTTAAGGAATCAGATTTAACTCCAGTATGACCTTTTTGCTCTAAAAATAAGCCAACATTGTCCCTGTAGGGAAGGCTGATGGAGCGTGTGAATAATGGCTCTTCAATTCCCAGTAGCTCCCGAGTATGCTGAGAAATTACCTGAAATGCAAGGATAATTTTTTAATTGGATTAACCTGAAAATACAACTAAATCAAGTTAAGTTTCTTAGCTTCGTTTCTTAGGCCTCTTGAATGCTAACTCCTTAAGCTATTTCTATGGGGTAAAAAAATTATGAAATAACACATTGAAAGGCTTCCTGCCCTGGCCTTATCAAAACACACTTCTTAAGAGAAATGTCACATGATTTATCTCTTTAAAAATACCACTTAAAGTTGGTTCCAGGCCCTTGCATCAGATAGCTACGGACGGGTTCATTTCTTTCTTTTGGCTGAGCAAGCTGATCGTTGATATGAACAGATAATGTTCAGATTAGGAGCCATGACTGTCTCTAGCATAGTTAATAAATAACTTGTCTATAAGGAACTCAGTTAATGTTCAACTAAAAAAATCATTACTCAAATAGTTATTCAATTTGTTTGACTAAAAATAAATCTCAAACACTAAAAAGCAGACATTAAAGTTCCAGTTATTTTATTAGTGCCTATACTTGTATATTCCTTTAAAAAGATCTTTTGGCACAATTTTTCATGTCTCTAAAGTATAATCCATATTCACTGAGTACCATGCTACTTGATATCCTAAGCTGTCATTGCATTTTCAAAGTCTAGTTTTAATTATAGGTCTGTTAAAATGCTGCTTCTTGAATTCATATTCTGCATCTGGGTAAGAATGTAGTCCGTGAAATTGCTGCTAGAATACAGTCAAAAGAGAACATGGAATTGATCTTTTTTTTTTCGTTTAAAACTATTGGCCATAGTTACAAAACTGTAAAATGCACAGTTCTAAACCTGATACAAAACTGCCCATTAGTGGTGCATTTTAGATAGGTAGGATAACTGTATTCTCAAATCTTACTTGAATTGGTTTAGTTTAGACTCTAGGGATGGTTTGAGGGTAAAAGACAGATTTACATAGTTGCCTTGCATTCCCAGAAGGAATACTTACTGAGGTCTGTAGCAGTTGAGGTTTCTGAGCATTGAGATCCAAATTACTAAAGGTGCCTCTTAAGAATTCTCATTTATAATTGATGCTGCTACACTCAACATCTTGTTTGATCAGCATCTCACCCTAGCCCTCCTTTAGAATGCTCCTTACCAGAACAGGTTATTTCACAAATTCACTACGGTTTACAGACGGTATTCCCAGGAAGGGCCCTGTAGTCATAACACATTCAGTATCAACCAAAAGAATTATGTGCCTACTGTAGACAAAGAGAGTCCAATACTGTTTAATATTCTAATGCATAAAATAAAAGTGTTATAAAGCTACTGGTTACATGCGGAATCAGGAAATATAATCTAGCCATCTCTCCTCTAATTCAGTGATTCTTAAGGTATGTCTGAATTTCACTGATGGACCATGAAGTTCCTCTGGTGGGCTATTAATTAATCTAAAACTGTGAGTTCTTTCTTTAGTTCTGATGAATAACAAGCAATAGATTATTTTTGCCTAAGACTTAGGGCAACTTACTATAACTTACTTGAGTTAGTAAGGATGATTAAAAATAGGCATTCATGAAGATAATTAGTTTTCTAAGGATTCTTCCATATTCTAGGACGGTGGCCCACGCTCAATGCTTGGCATCACTGTAGAGCACCTATTTCACATGGCCTCAAGCGGAGATTTGTAATGCCTATCGTTTTCAGGTAGATCCTATTATTACTATATCATCATTGTATCTTGTATTGATCATGGTTTTCATGCTATTCTTGCTTTTATTTGTAAACTACTGATGGTTTTGCTTCATCATGACCAATTTATTATGTACTATTTATTTACCTTATAGTATGTAACTATGCACATTTGCATAGCTGTTAACTTATAATTTACTTTAGTTAAACCTAAAGACATAACTGTTGTGGTTCAAATATGAATCATCTATACCACCATTACTTTTTTTCCTTTTTAACCATTTTTAAAATTGAACTATAGTCAGTTTACAATGTTATGTCAATTTCTGGTGTATAGCATCACGTTTCAGTCATACATATACATACAGATATTTGTTTTCATATTATACCATCATTATTAAAGCAGATATACAATGTCCTTAAAGTCTGCTTGTTGATTCATATAACAGTGTGGATTAATCTTAAATGCATTTTGCTTAGGGAAGGAAGCCAAACTCAAAGGCTACATATTATTTCATTCCACTTATGTGATATTCTGGAAAAGGAAAACTGTAGGGACAAAAAAACAGATTAATGGTTGCCAGGGATTGGGTGGAGGGATGGGGGAAATTTTAGAGTGATAGAATTATTCTATACAGTTCTGTGGTGGTAGATACATGACCCTGTGCATCTGTCAAGACCCACAGAACTATATACTACGAAGAATGACTTTATTGTAGGCAAATTTTTAAAAAGCCAGGATGTTGTGGGAATCCATGTTTGCTTCTTTTTTGTTACATTCACTAGTTTGTTGTATTTTTTAGATTCCAAATAACAGTGGTATCACACAGTATTTGTCTTCTCTGTCTGACTTATTTCACTTAGCATAATGCCCCCTGTGGACTTAGTAACCCACTTCTTCTTCTTCTTCTCCTTCTTCTCCTTCTCCTTCTCCTTC